AAATGTGATGACGAAGCGTCAGACTCTAATGCCTATGGAAAATGTAGGTTGATAAACGCAAACACCTACTTCCTTTTTTTTAAAATTACACTTGGCAACATCTTGGATAAAAGCAATTATCTTCGACACGCGGGTGTCTAAAATATTTAAATCATGCGGATATTAAAATACAATGATGCTGCTAATTAGTCCGTGGTTGTTTGTCATCACAGGCTGGGCTTAAGAATAATTAGCTTTGATCAAACATCTACAAAGACAATTCAAAAATTAAACTGTAAATTTCTCCAATAGCTAACTCATTATTATTCAGATTGATGTTAACAAATTCATGAAAACGTATATAAATGCAGTTATTTACTGTAAAGCCAGACATCTACAATTTTTCTTGTAAAAATTACGATTTCTTCCCTGTAAGTAGTAGTTTTGTAATTTTGACGATTTAAATGTTCGTTTTCATGTATAACAATTTGTGTTGTTATCAGTGGCTTCCAGACCTTGAAGATTGGGGACTCAGATAGTCCTCTTAGTGTCACAAGTATTCAGGGTTTTTAAAAATGTTACGATACTTTACTTCAATATTCTTAAATACTTGGTTGCGCAGTCAGAATCACCAAATGTATTATGTAAGTGCGTTGTCGTAACCTGCGAGCGTACTTAACTCTAGATTGAATTAAAAACAAATAACAGTGGACGTGATCGAGAAATCAGCTCGACACAGGAGCCCGCTACAGTCGACATGTAAAGACACCTCGCGATAAATTACTAAACTTTGATACATTGATATGTGTTGTAGTGACTGAGTTGATAGCATGTCATCCATCCCGTCAGTTTCGGGTTCAAAACCCATGTTGACACTATATCTGTTTTTGTTTTTTAAGAAGTCCAAAAGCTTGGCCACCATGTTAGCAGAGACTGTTGTGTTCTGGAAAACTTTTTTGTTGCTTCAAAACTATTATACACGTTGTTTTATTCGTCCTTCGCGTGTAATTCTATTTAAGTAGTACGGGATACATGTCTAGGTATACAATCTGATTACCTAGCAGATGAGGCTCCACATTGGCTCCACCTTGGACGGGATGGGAAATATCATCGCATGACACTGGTTTTCATCAAACATGTAATTATGTAGTGAAGTCTTTTATTGTTATTCGAAAAGATAAAAACTATCTCTAGATTAAAAGAATATAAAAAAAGTAAGTAAAGTATCTTTCGAACCTGATAGCCCATAGGGGTAGAAGAATTAGAGTTTGCGTGTTTTAGTGACGTCGGAATATAAAGTGATTGTGTGGTCGGCTCAACGCCCAGCCGCCTTTACTTTGCCGAACATGATTCAGGTAACCATTACAGCTTGGGTGGACTTTGGGATGTTCTATTAACCGGGAATCGAACTCGAGACTATCGAGGTAAAAGTCGTATGCTCAACCATCCAACCACCCAGTTCCCACAAGACTCGTATTGTAATTGGAACTTAACTCTGTGGAGAAAATATATTAAGTGATACATTTTTCTTCGGACACAACATTATAGTGTGATTATACCATAATGCGTATTATCGACGTGGTCGGGTACAGAGGCGTAGCGACCCTTCCCGGCGTCCGGGGACAAACTTTCGATTTGCACCCCCCCCCCCCCCCTCAAACTTTCTATTTGCACCCCCCACTCAAGATTTCGATTTGCACCCCCTCAAGGTTTCGATTTGCACCCCCAATCAAATTTTCGATTTGCACCCCCCCTTAAGCTTTCATTTTTATTTCCCCCCTCCCCTCACAGCCCCCCCCCTCTCCTCGCTACGCTAATAGTCGGGTCGGTTAAATTCGTGGTTGAGACAACCACTTATCTAGGAGAAACAACTGCTGTATTGTAAGTTTGTTGATTGTTGGACAGAGATTATAAAAGCAAATTCAACAAGAAAAAAAAGGCTCAAATCGGAGTCAACGACCGATGCGGATCATAACAATTTGACAATTAATACTTACTTGTGTTGAAAGGAATCTATTCCATAATAATTATTTAGAACGAAGAAAAATTGTAAATATGCAAATGAGTAACTACTTTTAATATCAACTTCCTAAAAAAAAACGCTTCTTCACAATGCAAAATATATGCTGCCAAATCTTTGATTTATATCTTTATTAAGGGTATTTCATAATCATTACTGCGAAAAGTGCATAATAGCCCATTTGACATAGGCCTACTTCATATCTAAATGTCTGTTTCAGTAATACAAAATGTACGGAAAACTTCTTGTTGTGCTGGGTTTAATTTCAGCAGTTTCATCAACTGACTGTAAGTATTTAGTTGTTACTTTAGACAGATATCATGTATCCTTTCAAATTCTTTATTTTGTTTCAAAAAGTATTTTTATTTTATTTTTCTGCTAAGTAGACGTAGTCTACAATCAAATTTATTGAGATTGTTTAAGGACGAACTTAATTCTACTATGTATAAAATATCATTTATTTGTTTCACTATAAATCTTTCATTTGATCTAAGTCACATTTTATTGATACCCATGATAAATTTGTTAAACAACAAAATAAAGACGATATAAACACGTTATTAACATCAATTTAAAATTGTAAGCAACAAAATTACGTTATCAGTTCCAGCATGCTTACAAAAGCTGGCTGAAAAAGTGGCCGGTCACAAAGAACAAGGTTCTGTCCCCTTTGGAAACTCCAACACCTATCAGGTGTCTGGGAATGATAAGCGAAGTTATCAAACTATCAAGTTCGCCAAGCCTTACGTGACGCCACCAACTGTAGTGGTAACAGTGGAAACTATGGATGCTAGTAAAGACACAAACTTGAGGTATTCGATTTGGGTGGGACAGATCACTACAACTGGTGCTCAAATCAGTTTGGGTACATGGGCAGATACATTGATCTACGGTGCCTATGTGCACTGGTATGCATTTGATTAGAAATCTTAAACAAAATTTAAAGACGGCTCTTTATTTTACATAACTGTTCTGATACTAACGTCTTTAAAAATTATGTTTTAATTTCTGCTCAATAAAAAGCAAAAGTGGCAAAAGTATTTGGTGTTATTTTATTTTAGTCTTTTTTTTTTAAAATCGAAATATTTTTCAGAATGTTAAAACATTTCGTCATTCAAATACAATCTATGATGTGATATTCCTTTTTTTCAAATCTAATTTGAAGAAGATGTTGGTAAATTGCGGGGTTAAGAGCCCCAGAAAGTAAAAGAACCCCAACTTTTAAAACTGCAAACATATCAACCAGCGATGCTTATTAGTGCATGCCTCGCCCAGGGAACTTATAAACATCAGATCCGCACCTGTATCACAGAAAATGATAACATACAATATCTCAGGTTATAATGATCTAGTCCACTAACACATTTGAGTTTTGTCATACATTTAACAGTCGATAACAAAAAATAAGATATATAAAAGAAGAGCCGCTTTCGTGAAGCTTTTTAAATGACATGATTTTACAAAAGCTGTTCTCGACAACATACTATTGAATGAAACACAGGCTCAGATTAAAATAGTAACAACCTATTTAAAATGAAAAGCCAAAACATCGTGGAAAGATGTCCTATCTAATGGCGTTGCTGGGGAATGCGGGTGGGGCGGTCGACCTTAAGGGGGAGCCAAAAGGGGTAGAAAAAAATTAAAAAGTCCATTTTAAGTTGGAGTGTTAAATTCTAAACAAATATGATTTAACTGTTTCTACATCAATTGTTTGGCACCACGAGAAAATCCTTTACAGGATAGTGAATGGTAAAAAGTGCTACTAACCTTTCCAATTCAGGGTGGGGGTGGGGGGAGCTTTTTTGCTAACTTTAACCATATTAATAAATGGGCGAGGGGGGGAAGCGCAAAACTGATACTTCACAGGAGCGCAGAATGGGTCTCTACGCCTCTGCCTATATCAGCTGACCTTCGAGTGACCTGTCATTTTCTGTTGAAAGGAAGTACCAGACGGCATCGTTACGACTTGCTAAAACAGTTAAAATACCTCACAAGATTGGCAATGCAAAAACAAATACTCCAATGATAGCAGAAAAAGAAAATAGATCACTCTTTTAACTTATGGAAAATAAAACACGAGCAAACAAACTTAGGCCTGTAGGCCTACTTGTAATCTGCTGTAACTGATGGCGTATGTCTAGTTTTTCTTCGAAAAACTTTGGATTTTGGAAAAAATATCGATCTTTTAAGAAAAACATCAACAGCAATTTTGAGGGGGGAGGGGGTGTAGGCTGAGGTGTGACGCCATTTTAGGGGGGGGGGGGTCTGGCTTTTTTGTGACGACGTGTGACGGAGGAGAGGGGGGAGGTAAAAATCGTCTAAAACATGAAATAACGGCTAAATTTCGTTTTCTAACATTGCTTTTTTATAATGCAAAAAAGTGACGTCACACCATCTGAACACCCCCCCCCCCTTCCCCTCATCACACACCGTCACGAAATTACGGACCCCCCTACCACCCTACGAGTATGACGTAATTTATGGACGCCCCCCTATACATACACACACACACACATACACACACACACACACACACACATATATATATATATATATATATATATATATATATATATATATATATATATATATATATATATATATATATATATATATTTTATTTTTTTTTTTTTATTTTTTTAATAATATGTTTCCTTCGGTGGAGGTGACACCATGAGTTACCGACCTAGCGACGCCACTGTAGTGGACAACATAATTAGATAGGTTAGGGAACCGGGGAATGGGCGGGTTGGATTTTTGTGAATTCGAACAAGAGGACGGTTTGTTTTTTGACGACTTTGTGAGTGGTGATACTGGAAAGAAAAGAAAGAAGGAGATGAACGTTGAAACTCGGCCAAATCAGTATGGACTTTCTTTAGAATACATTGTAAATTAAATAGTTTGTTCTGTAAAACTACGTAGTAATTTTGAAACCATATTTTTAGAAAGCCTGATTTTTACAAATCTTCCTTACCGGAAGTTTGCGTTACTACCAACAACACACTTCTCTAATTAGTTAAGGTAGTCAAAGGTGCTATCAAGAAACGACACTTACTTAGAAAGAAGCGGTAGGTCTAAACAAAATACGCTGTATCCCATATATTTTTAATTAAATGTCTATTATCGCAATTTCTATTTGCTTTTTTTCTTGGTTGCTTTAAAAATAAAGAATAGTAGTTAGGCCTAAAACTAAAATTGATTGAATTAAATTTGAATCTATTCCAATATTGAATACAATATTCCAATCTATTGATATTGACATTTTTAAAAATGCCTAGGCCCACTTAAAATATAAAAATTTTGCCTAAAAACACACTAAAACACTAAAATATGCCCTACTTTAAAAATTTAAAATAAATATGATGTGGCCATATTAAATTAAAATTAAAAGCATTCAAATTCAAATAAAAAAAACCTAAGTTAGTGTCAATTATTAGGGATTTAGGTAAAAAAACACTAATCATCATATAAAAATAAAAATTACATATTCTTGTAGAGCTCAACTATATGAAAACAAAACAAAAAAGATTTTCTGTCTAGCTCAAATAGTTTTTTTTTGGCGAATTTTTTTGTGAGGGGTGGAATCCCCTTGCTTTTGCATTGGCCAATTGTGACAAGTCATGGTATACCTGAATAAATTGAGCATAGTTATTTTACTTGCAGTTGTATTTTGTTCATATTTGCAGAGTTTAACTAGAATGATATATAGAACTTGTAAATGCTGTTGAAATTAATAAAAATAATACAGAACTTATATTTTTGTGTTGGCTTCCTCCCATAACCCCAAAAAGCTGTGTGCTGCGCAAATATGAAAATGTTTCTAATGCCATATTTTATATAAATACAGCAAATGAAAGAACTACAAAGTTAGAAATCTAAAGTAAATGACTTGAACACTGTTATGTGCATATAATTGCCTCATTATTTTGGGCAGGTGAAGTAGAGTCCATCTTTAAGCCATTTTGTTATAAAACTGCTGCGCAAATATGAAAATGTTTCTAAAGCAATATTTTATATAAATACAGTGAATGAAAGAACTCCATAGTCAGAAATCTAAAGTAAATGACATGAACACTGTAATGTGTCTATAACTGCCTTGTTATTTTGGGCAGGTGAAGTAGAGTCCATATAAAAGCCATTTTGTAATAAGTGAAATGAAGTTATCAGATCAATGTTTTTATGTGTGAATTGTGTATGGATTCTGATTTTCATCATATAACTATATCTAAGGGTAAGTAGAACTTGAATACTTAAAATTACAGTTAGCACAATGTTAGTGTATAGCAACAGACAGGTAACCTAGATCTAGATCTAGGTCTGACTCTTGTCAGTCTAGAGTCTAGTCTGACAAAATTGGATTTTTAGGAAAAACATATTCTAGAAAACTAGAACTAGAGCTGAAAAAATTAAAGATGGGTATGTAAATATATTTTGAAATAAAAAATTAGATTTGTTTGCACATGCCATAAGATTGCTGTTATTAGTGGACCAAACTTAAAGGCAGGAAGATCGGGATGAAAAAATATAACAATGGTGGCAGCGTGACCTACATACAGTGACTACGTTCGGAGGGGTATAACTAATGTCGGAGTCAAAATATCCAAAAACAAATTTCATTTCCAATTACTTAAGATATGTCTGATCAGTAATCTACTCTCATCTAGAGGAATCTTTTAAAAAATCGAGATTCCAACGTATTTGAAACTAACCTTGATACAGGGGGAAGACCAAAGCAGAGACAGCATGCAATCAGGTCGCAAAGCCATTAAAACTAAGGGACAACCACTCTACTTTTTAATTAACCTTAGGAAATGACCTTTTAAACTTAATTAATTACCATAAATTAAAAACTTATTAGTATGCAAAACCAAATCTCGTGGGTCCGGTATCAGAAAGTAATGGGCGATTTCGGGTCATGTTTTTACCGCGAACTCGGCGGATGCCGACAACCCTACAATTATTAATTTGCCTACTAATTAATAGTAATTAGTTATATAGGCCTAGGCCTATAAATAGTAGGGTAAAACTCCATTTTAGCGTATTTTATTCCCCGCTTCACAGACACAGTCACCTCCAGTTGAGCGTATTTTATTATAAACACAACCAAAACACACAAAAACATTAGGAAATCACTCAGGCTATTTCTTTATGGATTTTTGGTTTGGTTTTTTAAATTAATTTTGTCAAAACTTGAGAAAAATCCAAAATTTGGAATATTTAATGTGTACTATTCATCTAGATCTAGATTTAACTTTTTTTTTTCTTGAAAATGTGTGCGTGTCAGTTAAGATTTTCATGGCAATGGGTAAAGTAGAAACGCTATAATTGCAAGGCATGATACTATAAATTAACTTACATGAACTCACAATGACCCTAAGCTATGACGTATGCTGATAATTAAAGTCAATGTGAACTCACGGTGAACCCTTGACCATGTCAGGATTTTTCTCCAGCCGACGATGACACGCTATTTAATTAGAACTAGAATGATTATTTATGATAGGGGCCTATATTTTTTACTTTTTCTAATTAAAAAATATTCATAAAAAAATAAGTAGATCTATAGATCTATCTATCATCTAATGATTCTAGTCCTAGTATTTTCCTAACATTATTGTGGGTTTTGGTTGTGTTTTTAATAAAATATGCTAAACCGGAGGTAAATGCAGAGTTTCTTCCAGGCATCTCTTCGGGGGAAAAATTTCAAGTGCCCCCCCCCCCCCCCCCCCCCCCCGGAGAAAAAAGTCTGGAAGAAACACTATGTGAATGTTAAGCAGCAAATAAAATAAGCTAAAATGGAGTTTTACCAAAGTAGTTAGTTAATTAGGCTAATAATTTAAGTTAATATTTAGGCCTATTCGCCTAACCTAAACTAAACTGGCTAAGCTCGAGATTTTTTAAGGTAGTTTCTGAAACAGAAGTAATCATAAGTTCTATAACAGCTAGACTGCTGCTAGAATAATCAGAGTGCTTTGCTAATAATTAAAAATTTAAATAGGTCTATATATTAATAGTAAATATTACCTAAATAAAACTAGTACTAAGTAGTTACTAGACTAAGCCCTAAGCTGCACTAAGCACTGTACTGAATAAGAGAAAATATAAACAAAAATACATATCACCTGTTTATAATAAGTAGATATTCTCACTAATTCTTAATTGTAATTTGTTTTTGTTTAAAAATACCAATATAAACTAAAGATATATCTTAACCAACCAATTTGGTGATTCTAGCTCATTAGGGGCTAAAATACAGGATTTTAATTATTCGTGCTTAATAGCCGAGCTGGGACATGTTTTTCTGAGACAACCATTTGGAGCTCTAGTTCTAATAGTTGACCAGAATATGACCTTGGTGGTTCATAAAGATCAAGTGTGGGGTGGGGGAAGTGGCGGTATGGCAGCAATAAAACATAATCGAAAGGATATTTCATTATTTGTAACTTGGTTATGTAATCTATTTACAATATTTTAATATATGTCAAATGAATTAGCCAAATATAATCATGTTTAAATGTTAAAAAATACATAGATCTAAACTTTTTAAAGATATTCATTTTCATGTTTTAATCCATTTTGATTAATCAGTGTAAGTATTTTAGCAGTGTTAAATTAGGAAAATTAATAAAAGATTGAGTAAACGGAATCTAACCCTTCTACTTTACCGAGCATGGAACTGGCACGATATTCACAAAGCTTTGTCCAGGCTGAATTTTAAATATTTTAAAATTTATAGACATAAAAAAATATCTATTTGTTTTTTTTTTCTTTTAAAAACTGTCATTACATTAAAATTGATCACATGTGAACAAGAAATGCCTTCCAAACATAGTCACTCATAGGCTGTGCGTAGTGACGGCTCGCTCGCATTGTTTTGTCAACGAGAGAAACATCGCCAGTCCGAAGCTAGACATATCCAGGCGGAGTTTTAATACTTAAATTTGTATCTAGAGCTGGTGTCTAGATCTATTTAAAGATTGTTAGGCAAGGGGTATCATATTTAAGTTGATCTCTTGTGAGTGAAAAATTATGCATATTCGTCACAAGCCCACATGCGTTCTTTTGTCAAGCGAGCATGTGCAAGTCCCAGTACTGTGTTTACTAGATCTAAGCATGCCAACTAATTAGATGTGTTTATGCAGGCCGTCCTTTTCTAATATGATTATCATTTTTAATTTATTAGCCTAGTCCTTCTAGATTTAAATCTTAATAAACAGTTATAAAAAAATAAAAGCAATGAAAATAAAATTAATAACTATATTTAGTAGTATTTAGTAATAATAAAATCAAGCGAATAATACTAACTAGATTTATCGAGATCAGGAGATTGCGGTTCACAAGATCACTGATTTACTGGCTTTTACAGAAATACCAACTAGAATCTAATTCCTGTCTTCCCATGTTCAGATTGAAATGCTCAATTAATTTTTCCAGTAATGTAAAAATCAAAGTTGGAAAATATTCACGTAACACTCGTCAACATAAATATTAAATAAACAACACAAACGTAAAGTGTTGATAGAGCCACCTAGGCCAACGTGTCCCGCCTAATAGCAGTCACATGGGTTATAGAATTTGACTTTTGGTGGTGATTTTTTTTTGTGACTTTTAAAAAATAAAATAAAAGTGCATGTAATATTCGATTTATTTCTTCATTTTCTCTAAATCAAATATGGAACTACAAACGTGCACAATTCTATATCATTGCAGCTGATATTTAAAAGATCTACGAATGTTTATCGGCACCACCCTTTGAAAAAAATCGGTCTTCGTTATCTAAAGCAATTTATAGCATTTTCTCTGGCATATTTAATACTGCCATTTACAGTGTGTGTATATCACGTGGAAAAACTGCCATTTTTACATGGTAAACATTTTTAAAACTAATTCCAGGAAAGCCACTTGAACTAAGTAGGAAAATGTCTGAACACATGTGTCCAGTGAGGATGCCATATTGTTGTTAGCAACAAACCACGCCCCCTAGGTTTATAATTATTGCTATAATAAGTCAACTTGGATTTTATAAAGCTGCTGATGTGACAATACATAATAGAATCTATTGTTTTTTAATGAGTAGTAATGAGGTTTTAGTAATATAATATATTCTTAAAGTTTAAAGAATAAGAATGTGTATCTTTTCTAGATCTAAGTGTTTTGTCAGCCTATTTACAAAACTTAGAAATAAGTTATTATTTTGTATACTCAATTTCAGTATCTTTTATTAGACCAGTAGTACCACGCCATGGCTAGAAAGAAGCAAGAAATTCAGCTTCAGAGAGAAATAGAAACACAAGAAGAATGGGAAGAGGTTATGGCTATGGAAGGCCTTTGGGGTAAATATATGATCTCAAAATTTTCATTGGATTTTACTTTAACGAAAACCAAATGATGTTTTTAAGTTAATCATGTTTGAAAATGTTTATACATTTCAGTTGTTGATGTGTATCAAGAATGGTGTGGCCCATGTTTGGCTTTAGTTGGTAACTTCAGGAGACTTAAAAATGAACTGGGTGACAACTTGTTAAATTTTGCAATAGTAAGTCTGTTTCTCAAATAATTTCTTAAACTGTTTGTATTATTTAGATTTTTAAATTGCTTTTCATGTCATTATGTTTACAACAATATCTGGTACATTGTCATTCATATTACCAAGCACTTCACTAATGCATATCAGCTCTGGAGATATATCACAAATGTTTTTGGCTTAAATTATACATTTATTTTCCAGGCAAAAGCTGACACAATTGACGCTTTAGAAAAATACAGGGGAAGGTGTGAACCAACATTTTTATTTTATGCAGTAAGTCAAATTTTATAAAAAGTTTGTCTCTTGTAAAAAGGTAGGCTACATCAACAAGAAAATCTGCAAAAATATTATTATTCAATAGATGTATAGGGTTTAGTGCTTTTCCAGAATTGAAAAATTACTTAATACGTAAAAGTAAAGTACAAATCCATTTCAATCCTGACGATCCACAGGGAAAGTGAAGTAGAGTTCACCTGTTTCTGTGACCTCAGTATATGAAGAGATAGCATGGTCAACAATTAGCTCAGCTGCCTTATACCCATCAGGGCTTGGTGGAATCAGGGACGTTTTACGGACTTGAACCCGAATTCAAACTCAAGGCTTTCGTTTTGGCAGTCCTTTGCTCTTCCTTTTGACCATTAGTTACTCAATTAATTGTGGGAAATATTGAAACTTAAATGTAAAATCTCCCAAACCCTACCCTAAAAATTGTAGTTGTATGTATAAATATATCCAGCTACTCTGGAATAAACCATAGCATGTACAGACACTAAAGCAAAGTTTCAATAATTCTGTTGTGGCCAGATTTCTAAACAAAACAATGTTCTCTACACAGGGAGGTATCCTGACAAACTACATCCATGGTGCCAACGCACCCAAAGTTCAGCGGGTCATCACAGAGCAGCTGGCCCATGAACATAAAGTACTAGAAGGAACAGCAGAAAGAAAAGAGGTACCGAGACAGATTTTATTTGATGGGTTTTTATAGTTTGCAGCTTGCAACTGTTATTGTTTAATCATCTGTAAATAGTTACTACATAAGTTTAATTTTTTATTGTTAATGTATTAGTTTACCTGAAGGTTTTAATAAATTAGCTGCTACATTTTATTACAAAATTCTATCAAAAATGTTTTCAAATATTTATAACCTCAGCTAAAATTTAAAAAAAATTAATAAAAAATATTTTTAGTAAAAGCTTTTATACTTGTTCTAATAATAAACAAAATAAAATTATTTTCTTTAAATGTATAATAAAACACTACCATTTAAACAACTATAAAAAAAAAGCTATAAATAAACTGAATGCAACTCACACTTATCTTGAGTAGATTATACATTAAATTATTTTAATTTGAAACCAAGTAGTTTGCAGACTGCTTTTTTAAAATAGTTTTCCAAAATGAACATTAAAATACAAGAAATAGAGCTTTATTTTAAAAACCAAGAATTTTGTAAACCATTGAACATTTGTTTAGGTGAGAGATCCTGTCATTACTCGCATGCAAGAGATAGAAGCTGAGAAACTGGAAGAGGAAGAAGCCAGGCAACTAGCAGAAGGTAATGTAATCTTTGTACTATTTGTTTCAGTTTGTATATTTATTACACTTTATTAACTTATAACACTGATAAATATAAATCATATTCTATTCTCTAAATGGTGTTAGAATACACATTAAAAAAAACAACTCAAGTGTAAATTTGTGTCTAATTTTTGTTCAAAGATTTAAAGTAATGCTGTTGATTGTTTGTAAATGATGAATGCAATAATGACTCAGATGCTTTTGTTTTTCCCGGATGTTGTCCCTAAATGACATATTTTCATGTTCACGCCTTAGACACCAGGGCCATATTTAGTAGAGCTAAGCTAATCATGTGAATCAGGCACCCATCTAGGTAATCTCAGGGAATTTGTACAGATTAGAACTCATGACTTTTGTGTTAGCAGTTGAGCACTCTACCGCCCAACCATGTTGTCCCTTTAAGATTGTGACATCATTCTAGGATGGCATCCTTAGGGCATTGACTGTCTTTCAAGTTTTTGTTTGACATTGGCATTTTTATTTCATAGTGTTGTTTGATGTAGAAATCCAGGCAAACTGCATTATCATACAGGTATTAGTGGTAAATGATTGAACAAGCAGTTTATGCATCGTAGTTTTGTTAGTAAAAAAATACTCTTAGCTTTAATAGGTGCAGATGTAGATTTCATCTATTAACGCTTTTACTCTCTGCAATATTAGATATTGCATAAACCCCCATTCCCAACCACATTTAATTTCCCCAATTTAAGCCTGATAACCATTAGAGCTGGGTAGACTCAGATACATTTTATAGACTCGAGACTTTGTGTCATCAATAACATGCTTCAAATCTCAACAATAACTGTCTCCAATTTTACTTTGAATTATTCTACTCAAACTCTTATCCTGTGTATAATTCAACCAAACCCTTAATGTAATTTTTGGTTTATTTGTTTTACCCTACATTAGTAACTAATTAGGCTTATATAATTATAAATGACCATTGCCAACTCTAACTTTGATTTCTGCAGCTGCCAAATTTGAGAAGAGTATGTACCTGATAAATTCATGTTTTACAAATTTCCTCTTGTTCAAATTGAAGTTATTGTTGTTGGAAATAGTTTTGTTTCAAATGTTCTACAAATTGAAGAAAACAACATTACTTAAACAGTATCAGCTATTACATTAACAATTAATGTTATGCCATACAGAAAAAATCCCCACCCTATAATTCTGTGGATACTCATAGATACAGACAATTTAAGTTCTCCAATTTTAAAGATTATTGATAAATAAAAATGCATTTACGCTTATAGATAATATCACAATTTTAAATTGTTTGATATGTACACACCTATTGACCTTTGAAAACATAAAACAACAGTATGTCTACATAAATTACCACATAATATAATCCAGGGTACAATTTTGTTTTTTATTTAATATATTTAGACGATACAGGCACTGTTCCTGTATCTAAAACTCCTTCAGCTAAAAAGGTTAAGGATATGGAAGGTATTAGTTGTAACTGAACCACAACTGTTTTATTTGTAAATAACTAGCTAACCTCTGCTGCTTGTAAACAACAAACAACAACATTTGTGTGTGACTTGAGTTTAATTTACCTTGTATTTTAAAAACCTGCATTCATCTAAAATTTTGATGATGGTTATCTTTAATTTTGCTTTAATAAAAAAAAGAAAAAGCTAAATTAAACAAAGTGAAGATAAAAATGCATTGTGTTTTGCCTTAACCACCAGCCTTTTTTTCTGCTAAGTTTTATTCTCAGGTGCGGGTTTTAGATGTATTTTTGTACTGACTTAACACTTTGTCAAATCACAGAACTTTTCTTTCAGAGTCCTCTCTCTCAGAGGGAAATGTTACCCCTGGTCTAGGTCATGAGGGGTCATATCACGATGATACTGACCCCTCTGACGATGAGATGACGGAGATAATACCAGGTTTCTTGCTGTGGCTGCTACTAACTCACTGGTGTTAGATAGTCACTGTAACTTGCGTCATCTGACACCAATATTAACCACCTTTGTCCCACATCTTATTTAGTCCAGAATTTCACTTTCTCTTTGTTTTAGTTACAATGGTTTTCACTTTCTCATGATTTCACTTGCTCACCATTGACTTCCTCATGATTTCAGTTTTCTCATTGTTTCAGTTTTGCATGATTTCAATCTCTCATGATTTCAATTGCTCATAGTTTCAGTTTCTCATGATTTAATTTCACTAGTTCAATATTTCAATCTCTAGTGATTTAATTTCACTAGTTGAATATTTCCATCTTTCATGATTCCAATTTCTCATGATTTAATTTCACTAGTTTAATTTTTTAATCTCTCATGATTTCAATCTCTTATGATTTCAATCTCTTATGATTTTCAATATCTCATAATTTAATTTCACTAGATTAATAATTCAATCTCTCATGATTTCAATCTTTTATGATTTCAATCTCTTATGAATTCAATCTCTCATGATTTCAATCTTTTATGATTTCAATCTCTTATGAATTCAATCTCTCATGATTTCAATCTTTTATGATTTCAATCTCTTATGAATTCAATCTCTCAAGGTTTCAATCTCTCAGCATTTCAATATCTCATTATTCCAATTTCTCAGGATTTAATTTCACTAGTTCAATATTTCAATCTCTCATGATTCCATTTTCCCAGGATTTCAATCTCATAATTTTGTTCACAATTTCAGTTTCTCAAGACACATATCATGTTCTATCTCTGTCAAAAATACTAACCACCCACTAGCAACCCTTATCTTTTTAATTTCAGTTTCTCAAAATTTGTTTTCAGTCTTATATACATCCCCTAAACTCATGGTTACTTAGGGCTTCAAACAAGTAAAATTCAGAATATGCTTTTCCAACAAGAATATCATTATTCAAAATTTGTTCTCAATCCCATAGTTATTCCTTAGTTTCATTTAGAATATGGTTTCTTAATGAGAATATCAGCATTCAAAGATATCCTTTTCAGTCCTACAGTATTTCCATAGAAACTAGAATGTCTAGAGCTTCAAAATAGTTTCAGTCAGAATATGTTTTCACAATAAGAATATTATTATTCAAAAGCTTTCTTTCATGCTGTGTTATCAAATTTGTAATGCACAGCTTTAACTTCGGTGTTTTAATATTGGGTCAACCAGTCAAAAGAGAAACAATCTCTTAAAACATTGGTTTATAATTTTGTTTTACAAGGCCTATATATAATCCTTTAAACCCAATCAATCATGAATTGATGTTGTCATAACAATAGAGATGTTCATATATTTAAATGTGTTAGGTTGTTTCTGAGGAATGATATTTATTGTTATGTTTGTGTCTCATACTAATGCCTATGATATATTACAATTTTTTAAATGTACCGTTAATATGTTATGTACTTGTTTAAAATGTGTTGCTTTAAATGTAGCCTACTTGGCATTATCAACTGTTGAATGTCAGCATTTATTACATAACTTTTAATGAAAGCTTTAGAATCAATTCTTATATCTAATGTTGGTCCATCTTTTAATAAAATAAACATGAATAATTTTAAAAAAAAATGCAACACAATGTTTCTTAATTAAAAGATTACTTTGATACAAAGTTTAAAACTGTCCCTTCACAAGTTATTATTTTTTATTATATAAGTTCATTTGTAATGATAATCATTTATTTTTGTGAAATTATGTTTTGATATAAAAATTCATTTTGTCAAAAATAAAAAATAAAAATACTTTTAAGAACATTTTACAAAAAAGAAAATTTCATAATTGAAAAAAAAAACAATTAAAAAAAGACAGCAAACTTTAATGAGTTCCAGAGCTTTAGACCTTTTTGATGAATAAGATTTTTTAATTATTAATAATTCAGCATTATTCTTCCTTAACATGAACAAAATATAAATTAATTTAAAAAAATAAGAATTTGCATTGTTTTTGTTTTGTTTTTGTTATAAAATTGAAATTTAAAATGTACATTATAAAATAAGTTTAAAGTTTACTGAAGCTACACATTTTAATTTACTTACACTACAGCCCAGAAAGGAATCACAGTGGCCATTATAAAACCAGATGCCGTTGTCCAGGGTAAAACAGATGAGATTATTTCACTGGTAAGATCACACTTTTTTTTGTTAAATAAACTATGAGATTATTTCACTGGTAAGATCACACTTTTTTAAAAATAAATAAACTATGAGATTATTTCACTGGTAAGATCACACTTTTTTAAAAATAAATAAACTATGAGATTATTTCACTGGTAAGATCACAATTTTTTTTGTTAAATAAACTATGAGACTATTTTCAATGTCCAAAATGTATGTTACTATCCACATAGTTTGTTTAAACTGAATGGAACAATCCAAAATTTCAACAGTATGGGATTATTATCAATTTTTTAAATATATTTATTTAATACATTAATTAAAATTAACTTTTAGTGATTATCTGTAAAATATATTTACATAAATTTTAGTATGTCTTGTATTTACTTTATACTTAGCCATAATGCTACAATTGAATCAATTATTTAATGTAAAAAAAGGTAGAGTTCAGGTTTAAATGTTGTTCTCTATGTTACATCCTATCACTTACTATTATAATTTTTATTTAAGTTCTGTTTTCTTAAAAGTTTTTTAAAAAGAATATTTTAATGTAACTTAATGAACTAAAAATGTAATTCTCTAGTGTAACATGATTTTATGTAGATCAAAGAACATGAGTTTGAAATCTTGGCACAAGAGCAAAAAGAAATTACACCTGAAGAAGCTGAGGAGTTTTATGCTGACTTTGATTCCGAGGTGATTTATTAAACTTGGACTAGATCCTTTTTGAAATTAAATCTATAAATAACTAATTTTCAAATAGTTTAAAGTGTTTCCAAATTAAATTGTGGGTTTACCATTATATATACTAAGAAAGAAAATAGCCTTTTTAAATAGCAACTACACAAATCTAAAAAGACCTGTAATTCCTATGTACTAAATTTTATTTTGATCATAATTATAAGGCCTCTGTAAAAAACCTATCTGTAAAAGACAGAGTTTTGTGTTTTTTAACAGTATATACCCAGCATTGCCTGGGTCAAATATGGACATTGAGGAAATAACACATAAACCTAACTCTAAATATAAGCCTAACCACAACCAAAGCTCAAACATGAGCAAAATGCAAACATCAGTGTGTTAAACTAAATTTATTATTTTTGAATATTTATTTTTTTAAAATACTTTTTTTTAAAGAGCTACTTTGATGACCTGGTCAAATTTATCACAAGTGGTCCATCATATTGTCTTGTACTGACCAAAGGCAAAGGTGGTGAGACAGTAATTAAAGACTGGCTAGACCTGCTTGGTCCAGCTGAAGTAGAGGTGGCCAGAGAGGAAGATCCAAACTGGTACTGTTTTTTTTTAAACTTTTTTTTTCTTCACTTTTTTGGGTGCCTTAGACATGTAATTTACAGTTTAAGTTTACCTAGCCATACATGTTTGCTTTAGTATTACAGTTTTCATCATTGGCTCATGAAGACTGATACAGATTTACAATAGGAATACTTATTTCTGACATCCATAATGAGTTACTTATATATATTAAAAATGTCTAATTACAATTTTATTTTAAACCTGAAAATGCAAATGTTTAATTTAATAGTGATTCAACTATCTCAGGGGTCGGCAACCTTTTGAAGCGGAAGAGCCAAAAGTTACAATTTTCAAAATTTCCCCGATTTTAAAGAGCCACTAATATATTTTTAATTTCAAATATTTTATTTTTTGATTAAGACTATTAGTATTTGTGCAAGGAGCGCTGAAGAGCCGCATCTTGATATCAAAAGAGCCGCATGCGGCTCGCGAGCCGCAGGTTGCCGACCCCTGAACTATCTGGGTGTTTTAAAATGAATTTTTTTTTTTTTGCTGTTTTTTAAAATCATTAAATTTTTTCTCTTCTTAAAACCTTAAAGTGAGAGATTTTACATTATTTTATTTCCCCCACCCACTTACTCTCCTTTAACTCAGTAGAAAAATTAAAAAAATATTGTTTCTTAAAAAGAATATTGCATAGTTTTTAAATTTTTAAAACATAAGTTTATTAAAAAAGTTTGCCAATTTATATAATTTGTATTTACTCACCCACTTTCTTCCATTTCCTATCAGTATAAAGTTTAAAAAAAAAACCCACAATATTGTATTCTTTCAAAATGTAGAAGTTATGTGCCTTTACCATGTAGATAGTTTACAAAGTTGTGTCAATTTGTGTGATTTATATATACCCAGCCTCCGATCCAGATATGGTGAGAAAGGATACTTGAATGCCTTGCATGGCTCTCTCACAGCTCAAGCTGCTGAAAAGTAAGTTTTGCTCACGTTTGAAAAGTAAGTTTTGCTCACGTTTGAAAAGTAAGTTTTGCTCACGTTTAAAAAGTAAGTTTTGCTCACGTTTGAAAAGTAAGTTTTGCTCACGTTTGAAAAGTAAGTTTCGCTCACGTTTGAAAAGTAAGTTTTGCTCACGTTTGAAAAGTAAGTTTTGCCCACTAGTTTGAAAAGTAAGTTTTGCTCACGTTTGAAAAGTAAGGTTTGCCCACATTTGAAAAGTAATTTTTGCCCACATTTGAAAAGTAAGTTTTGCCTACTAGTTTGAAAAGTAAGTTTTGCCCACTAGTTTAAAAAGTAAGTTTGTCCACTAGTTTGAAAAGTACGTTTTGCCCACTAGTTTGAAAAGTAAGTTTTTCCCACATTTGTAAAGTATGTTTTGCCCACATTTGTAAAGTAAGTTTTGCCCACTAGTTTGAAAAGTAAGTTTTGCCCACTAGTTTGAAAATTATGTTTTGCCCACTAGTTTAAAAAGTAAGTTTTGCCCACTAGTTTGAAAAGTAAGTTTTTCCCACTAGTTTAAAAAGTAAGTTTTGCCCACTAGTTTGAAAAGTTAGTTTTGCCCACTAGTTTGAAATGTAAGTTTTGCCCACTAGTTTGAAAAGTTAGTTTTGCCCACTAGATCTAGTTTGAAAAGTGAGTTTTGCCCACTAAGTTTGAAAAGTAAGTTTTGCCCCCTAGTTTGAAAAGTAAGTTTTGCCCACTAGTTTGAAAAGTAAGTTTTGCCCACTAGTTTGAAAAGTAAGTTTTGCCCACTAGTTTGAAAAGTAAGTTTTGCCCACTAGTTTGAAAAGTAAGTTTTGCCCACTAGTTTGAAAAGTAAGTTTTGCCCACTAGTTTGATAGCTGCTACATTTATTCAACAGCTACCAAAAAGGTATAGTAAAATAGTAAAATAATAATAAAGTTTTCTATGACATAGAGTTCATCTGTTTCATTAACCATGATGTGTGGTCAGCATTGTGCTAGGCTACCCAGCAACTAGAACTGTGTTTTTCTACAAGGTTTTTACATTTTTGCCCAGTGGATCTCAATTAGTGGAACACATACCCCTGAGGATAAAATGGATGGGGTGTGTGGATTGAGGATGGTGGTAGTGCCATATTGAATATTTTCTGCACATACTGGTAGATTTGAACTCTTAGACATTCATATTAGCAGTTCTGCACTCTAACATTCAGCCACTCTATCCAATAACATAATGTATAATCTAATTAAAAATAATTTGGTTTATCTATGTGACTCTTTTAATAAACAATAAACATAAGAAGTAAGCAATGTACATTTTTTAAAAATAAATCAATACATTCTTTATTTTCCATTAAAATTAATTTAAATGTAGTGTTTAAATTTGTTTCATTAATTTCGGTTAGACATTACTTTTTGAATTGCTGTTAAATACTTTTTCTTTTATTTCACAGAGAGCTGAGGATATTGTTCCCTAACTTTGTTGTTCCAACTTATTTGAGGAAGAAGTTGAATATTCAGAGAACACTTGCTCTAGTCAGGCCTGAAGCCTATGCAAATAAGAAAGGTCAGTTCATAGCAGCAATATAGTATCTCAGTTCTGGCAAAAATGTAAACATAAATGTTCTTGAGCTGTAGCTGTGTGATAACAGGTAAGGCCATGATTTTTTTTTAATAAGAAGCCATGGTAGGTTTAGAATACCATCATCATTTTTTCCTGTTTGTGCCCATAAAAGTAATAAAGTAAATAATTATCTATAGACCTAGCGATCCATTGGGCAGATGAAGTGGAGTTCATATGTTTCTTGACCTCGGCATATGAATGAAGGTGTGGTCAGCACTTTGCCCAGCCGGCTTCACTTTCCCTAACATGAGTTAGGTACCCATCAGAGCTGGGTGGACTCAGGGATGTTCTACTGACTTGAACCTGAATTCGAACTCTAGACTCTACCACTTAGGCCACACAGTCCCATATATTAGAACATAACTGTGTATAAATCTAAAAAGGCGTTAAAGCAGCCTGGTTTTGTGGCCGTGAAGATCAATATCATTCAATGTCTTTGGTACTCACTCCTCAGAGGACATCATGCAAGCCATTAGCAAGCTGCCATTGAAGGTAGCCATGATGAAGGAGGTTCAACTCACCAAGGAACAAGCCTCAGAGCTGTACAAAGAACACGAACAGTTTGGTTTCTTTGATCTCTTGGTTGAAACCATGAGCAGGTCAGTCTTGTTTGACTCGGTGGCCAAAGGTTAAGTTGACATTTTAACTGGGTGGCTACAGGTTAAGTTGACATTTTCAACTGGGTGTCTAAAGGTTAAGTTGACATTTGTAACTGGGTGGCTAAAGGCAATGTTAGCTGTACCAGCTTAATACTAATCTCAAATCCTTTCTTTCCGAATTTTATTAAGTAGGCTGTATCATCTTTTCCCATTTGTGCCTAAGACACATAAGGTAGATGATGTAGAGTTCACCTGTTTCAGAGACCTTAACAGTATTTCCAGCCGCCTTTATTTCCCCTAACGTTAGTCAGAACTAGATGGACTCAGGGACATTCTACTGACTTGAACCCAGAAGTGAACTCCAGACTTTCGGGTTATCAGTCTAGCTCTCTAATGCTAGGCCACGCCATCCCATAAATAGGCTTAACTTACCAGAGGCGTAGCGACCCTTCCCGGTGCCCGGGGACAAACTTTCAGTTTGCACTCCCCCCCCCTCGAACTTTTGATTTGCACACCCCCTCTCAAACTTTCGATTTGTACTTCCCCCCCCCCCCCCTCGAACTTTTCATTTGCACCCCCCCCCCACCCCTCAAACTTTCAATTTTTGTTTCCAACCCATTTTGGCGCCCCCCCTAAGGTCAGCGCCTGGGGACATATGTCCCCCCCCCCTCGCTACGCCTCTGTAACTTAATAATAAAACATTTAAGTTTTCACAATGTAGCTTATCAGATAAATAATGTTTCCTTATTTCTTCAGTGGGACATTGTTGGCTATTGGGTTGATTGGAGATGAGGCCATTTCAGTGTGGCGGGACGCTCTTGGACCAGAGAACGTTGATGACGCCATGGAGAAGGCACCTAAGAGGTATAGGCATCATATGTTTACCTGCCCAGGTTTATAGGCATCATATGTTTACCTGCCCAGGTTTATAGGCATCATATGTTTACCCGCCCAAGTTTATAGGCATCATATGTTTACTTGGATAAGTTTATAGGCATCATATGTTTACCCGCCCAAGTTTATAGGCATCAAATGTTTGCCTGCCCAAGTTTATAGGAATCAAATGTGTACCTGCCCAAGTTTTTTTATAGGCATCATATGTTTACCTGCCCAAGTTTATAGGCATCATATGTTTACCTGCCCAGGTTTATAGGCATCGTATGTTTATCTATCCCAAGTTTATAGGCATCATATGTTTACCCGCCCAAGTTTATAGGCATCATATGTTTACCTGCCCAGGTTTATAGGCATCGTATGTTTACTTGGATAAGTTTATAATAGCATATAATTTTGAGAAAATAATGTGTCCTTCAAAAGATTTTTAAAAAAAGTAAAGTTCCCCTTACAGACATAACTAACCATACATAAGATGAAGTATAGTCCATTAGTTCCTTGACTTTGTTATGTGAAGGGTTGGCGAAGTCAGCACTAGGCACAGCCATGTTTACTTTCCCTAACTTGACTCAGATACCATCACAGCTGGGCTGACCAATAACCAAACTACCAATCTTATTTTTTTTAACTATATAGGTCTAATTTTTTTTATGGCATTTTATTTAATTCAAAATGGTAAAAATTCTCTGGGCTTTGATAGTCCTTACACTAAGAGAATAATATGAATTTATTTATAATTTCTGAAACAGTTAAAATGTTTTATCTGAAATAGTTAACATATATTATCTGACATATAATTATTATAATAATATTATAATATAATAATATTATAATAATATATATTATTTGACATAATTAAAATACATTATCTGACATACTTAAAATATATTATCTGTCAGTTAAAATGTATTATGTGACAAGGTTAAAATATATTGTCTGACATAGTTAAAATGTATTATCTGAGAGTTAAGATGTATTATATGTCACAGTAAAAATATATTATCTGACATAGTTAAAATATATTATCGTATGATTAAAATGTATTATATGTCACAGTAAAAATGTATTATCTGACATAGTTAAAATATATTATCGTACGGTTAAAATGTAATGATAAAACTGTTTTAGCTTGAGAGCCCGGTTCCCTGGTTCTAATGGCATGAACCAGTTCCATGGCTCAGCTTCAGTGGAGGCGGCCGAGAAAGAAATTGCAGAATTCTTCCCGATAGAACAGACAGTGGCCATGATTAAACCAAGCGGCATGGAGCATAAGGGTGAGTAGAACTGAGCCAATGGTTTCTTGTTAGCTAAGCTACTTGGATTATACCGGGTAAATAGTCACACAACTGAGCCAATTGTTTGTTGTTAGCTAAGCAACATGGATCACACTGGTTGAATAGTAACACAATTGAGCCAATTGTTTGTTGTTAACAAAATAACTTGGATCATACTGGGTGAATATTCACACAACTGAGCCAATTGTTTGTTGTTAACTAAGCTACTTGGATTATACTGGGTGAATAGTCACACAACTGAGCCAATTGTTTGTTGTTAGCTAAGCTACTTGGATCATACTGGGTGAATAGTCACACAACTGAGCCAATTGTTTGTTGTTAACTAAGCTACTTGGATAATACCTGGTGAATAGTCACACAACTGAGTAGGTTTCTGTGACCATAGATATTCCAAATTACAACAAAATGAATGCTTTACAGTTGGAGTTCAGTGTTTTTATTTAGTAAACAGATGTTCTATTGAACTTATTGGTCCATTGGGCATATTAAAAAAGTTTATCTGTTTATGTCACCTCAATATATGAAGTGATAGTGTGGTCAGCACTATGCCCAGCTGCCTCTACTTTCCCTAACATTAATCAGGTACCCATCAGAGCTTGGTTGATCAGGGACTTACTACATACTTAAGCAGTGCCGTGAAGAAGCTGGCTTTAAGATTGTCAAAGTGATTGTTAAAGTTTAATTGATGAGTTGATCACATTTCTCTAGATCAAATCCTCCAAAGGATTGAAGATGCTGGATTTAAGATTGTCAAAGTGATTGTTAAAGTTTAATTGATGAGTTAATCAAAACTCTTTAGATGAAATCCTCCAAAGGATTGAAGAAGCTGGCTTTAAGATTGTCAAAGTGATTGCTTAATTAATGAGTTAATCAAATTTCTCCAGATGAAATCCTCCAAAGGATTGAAGAAGCTGGCTTTAAGATTGTCGCTCAGCAAGAAGTCAACATCACCCAGACCAAAGCAGAGATTATGTACCCCCACAAGATCCACACTGAGTACTTTGATGACCTCGTCAACTCCCTGGCCAGGTAAACTCAGTCAGGGTTTCTTTCAGCCATTTGACTCCCAGGAGGTAACTGAAGCTTCCAGATTGGGGGGTGGGGAAGATAATGGTTAAAGTATTTTGTCAGAGTAGAAATGCTACTGGGAAGGTGGGGGAGAGGGGGGGGGAAAGTGTCCCTTGAGATATGCCTGCTAGAAACACTGAACACAGCAGTTCTCAACTAGTAATACACAAACCTCTGAGGGTGAAGTGGGTGGGGTGTTGGATACAGGGATTGTGTTAGAGCCTAAATAAATACTTTTCTGCAAATAATGGCAAAGTGCCTCCCTTTTAAAAAGAGCAACTTTGTTTCATTTTCTTATTTCCAGTGCACTTAATAGCTTGTTATTAAAGAGGTTTTATATTTCTTTTATTATTCTTACACAACAGACTTGAGTATTGCTCATTTCTAACACCCAAACAGCCAGCTGCTAGACCCATGGGCTTCCAGAAGGTTTGCAATTCCTCCATAGAACATTGCACCAGTTGTTTTTGTTATAAAAACAGTTTGGTGGGGGGAAATTTGTCAGGGGTGATTTGTGGGATCCCAATAGTAATTGACATAATAAAAGCTTGTAGTACAATATCTGTTGTTTAATTGAATGACTTCTTCACTCCTGTGTGCACTGGCCTACACACACCCCATCTGCCCATCCACCCTGTGGAAGTTTTTCACTTGCATCTACTTTCTCTCTGTTCTTTCATATATCCTCCTTATATCCTGCTCCATAACACACTCCATGTTACTCTGATCAGTTCCTTCCCTTGCAAATATTGTTCACTTTGTACAACATCAACATACACAAACGTCATACAGTCTGACAGTGGAATAATCACAGTACAAACACTATTTACAATACTAGACTCCACATAGCAATCTTTTACACAATTCACATCACCACAATGTACACATGCTTTTCAGGTTCTAACAAGAAAAAATAAACTATTTCCCTGTCTGTTGAACCCATTGCAACAATTCCAGTTTATTTTCCATAACAACTGTTAATACTTTGATATGTTTATCTTTATCTAACTTAGTCTAACACTTTAAATTTCACTGGTGTCTCTGTACTTAGTCCTGTTAGCCTAACAATATCTCCTTCCTTGTATTTTAGTGGTGTGTCTCTGTACTTAGTTCTGTTAGCCTAACAATACTCCCATCTTTGTATTTCAGTGGTGTGTCTCTGTACTTAGTCTAACAATATTCCCATCGTTGTATTTCAGTGGTGTGTCTCTGTACTTAGTTCTGTTAGCCTAACAATACTCCCATCTTTGTATTTCAGTGGTGTGTCTCTGTACTTAGCCTAACAATATCTCCTTGTATTTCAGTGGTGTGTCTCTGTACTTAGCCTAACAATATTCCCTTCCTTGTATTTCAGTGGTGTGTCTCTGTACTTAGCCTAACAATATCTCCTTTCTTTGTATTTCAGTGGTGTGTCTCTGTACTTAGCCTAACAATATCTCCTGTATTTCAGGGGTGTGTCTCTATACTTAGTTCTGTTAGCCTAACAATATCTCCTGTATTTCAGTGGTGTGTCTCTGTACTTAGCCTAACAATATCTCCTTTCTTGTATTTCAGTGGTGTGTCTCTGTACTTAGCCTAACAATATTCCCATCTTTGTATTTCAGTGGTGTGTCTCTGTACTTAGTTCTGTTGGTCTAACAATATCTCCTTGTATTTCAGTGGTGTGTCTCTGTACTTAGCCTAACCATATCTCCTTTCCTGTATTTCAGTGGTGTGTCTCTGTACTTAGCCTAACCATATCTCCTTTCCTGTATTTCAGTGGTGTGTCTCTGTACTTAGCCTAACAATATCTCCTTGTATTTCAGTGGTGTGTCTCTGTACTTAGCCTAACAATATCTCCTTGTATTTCAGTGGTGTGTCTCTGTACTTAGCCTAACAATATCTCCTTGTATTTCAGTGGTGGTTCTCTGTACTTAGCCTAACAATATCTCCTTGTATTTCAGTGGTGTGTCTCTGTACTTAGCCTAACAATATCTCCTGTATTTCAGTGGTGTGTCTCTGTACTTAGCCTAACAATATCTCCTTTATTTCAGTGGTGTGTCTCTGTACTTAGCCTAACAATATCTCCTTCCTTGTATTTCAGTGTTGTGTCTCTGTACTTAGCCTAACAATATCTCCTTCCTTGTATTTCAGTGGTGTGTCTCTGTACTTAGTCTAACAATATCTCCTTTATTTCAGTGGTGTGTCTCTGTACTTAGCCTAACAATATCTCCTTCCTTGTATTTCAGTGTTGTGTCTCTGTACTTAGCCTAACAATATCTCCTTCCTTGTATTTCAGTGGTGTGTCTCTGTACTTAGTCTAACAATATCTCCTTGTATTTCAGTGGTGTGTCTCTGTACTTAGCCTAACAATATCTCCTTGTATTTCAGTGGTGGTTCTCTGTACTTAGCCTAACAATATCTCCTTTATTTCAGTGGTGTGTCTCTGTACTTAGTTCTGTCTAGAGAAGATGCTGTTGATGGCTGGAGAAGAGAGATTGGAAATGTGGACCCTGTCCAGGCTAAAGAGGAAAATCCAACATCGTGAGTTGATCAAAAACTTGGATTAACAATTTATTATTATTTAGTGAACAAATAATCTCCAAAGTTTGAAAGATTAGCTTTTGCCTAGTAGTATTTCCAATTAGGCCTATGTAAATGTGGGTGGATATTATTTCTTATAAGGGGTTGGTGGGGTCGGGTTAGTGAGCTGATGGTTGCGAAGCTAAAAAATCCCGAGTTCTGATATCCGGGCAGATAAGACGTGATAACTTGGGACAGCAACCCATCTAGAAGAGAAAACTCCAAAATAAAACAACTGCTTCCTTGTAGTTTGCTCTTGGTTGGACAAAGGAAGGAAATCCTAAAAGAAAAGCAGGCTGAAATTTCAGTCAATGACCTCAATAGCGCATAACCAGTTGACTCGTAATACTTAGTTATGTTGAACAAAATCCCCTCCAACATTACAATTACGAACAACGATGATTTTAGAAGGTTTTAAGATTAAAGGTAAATAAAGTTACCCAAGCAGTCCATTGGGCAGATGTTTTAGAGTTCACCTGAACTATATGAAGGGATACTGTAGTCAGCACTATGCCCTGCTGCTTATACTTTCCCTAAAGTGATTCAGGTACCAATCAGTGCTATGTCAACTTAATGACATTCTATAAATTTGAATCCAGGGTCCAAACTTAAGACTTAAATGTTAGCACTGTACCATCTGTACCTGCTGTCTCATAAGTTTTTCAGATTAGTTGAGCTTACATAATAAGTTACTTAATAGTGACGAATGGGAAGCTGTGGATTAGCGGTAGAGCGCTAGACTGGTAAACCAACAGTCTTGAGTTTAAATCTGGGTTCAAGTCACAGAGTCCACCCAAGTCTGATAGGTACCTAGTACACATCAAGGAACGTAAAGGCTACCATAGTGCTGACCACACTATCCCTTCTTATGCCGAGGTCACAGAAACAGTTTAATTCTACTTCACTTGCCCGTGGGCTGTCAGGTTTTGAGAACTTTACTTATTAGTAAAAAAACTTGGAGTTGTTACACTTCATTGTGATTGTTTAGCTGCGTGTTAATATCTGTATGTATGATGACATCTAATAGTTTAGCTGCATGTTAATATCTGTATGTATGACAACATCTAATAGTTTAGCTGCATGTTAATATCTGTATGTATGATGACATCTAATAGTTTAGCTGCATGTTAATATCTGTATGTATGATGACATCTAATAGTTTAGCTGCATGTTAATATCTGTATGTATGACGACATCTATTAGTTTAGCTGCATGTTAATATCTGTATGTATGATGACATCTAATAGTTTAGCTGCATGTTAATATCTGTAAGTATGATGACATCTAATAGTTTAGCTGCATGTTAATATCTGTATGTATGATGACATCTAATAGTTTAGCTGCATGTTAATATCTGTATGTATGATGACATCTAATAGTTTAGCTGCATGTTAATATCTGTATGTATGATGACATCTAATAGTTTAGCTGCATGTTAATATCTGTATGTATGATGACATCTAATAGTTTAGCTGCATGTTAATATCTGTATGTATGATGACATCTAATAGTTTAGCTGCATGTTAATATCTGTATGTATGATGACATCTAATAGTTTAGCTGCATGTTAATATCTGTATGTATGATGACATCTAATAGTTTAGCTGCATGTTAATATCTGTAAGTATGATGACATCTAATAGTTTAGCTGCATGTTAATATCTGTATGTATGATGACATCTAATAGTTTAGCTGCATGTTAATATCTGTATGTATGATGACATCTAATACTTTAGCTGCATGTTAATGTCTGTATGTATGATGACATCTAATAGTTTAGCTGCATGTTAATAACTGTATGTATGATGACATCTAATAGTTTAGCTGCATGTTAATATCTGTATGTATGATGACATCTAATACTTTAGCTGCATGTTAATATCTGTATGTATGATGACATCTAATAGTTTAGCTGCATGTTAATGTCTGTATGTATGATGACATCTAATAGTTTAGCTGCATGTTAATAACTGTATGTATGACGACATCTAATAGTTTAGCTGCATGTTAATATCTGTATGTTTGATGACATCTAATAGTTTAGCTGCATGTTAATATCTGTATGTATGACGACATCTAATAGTTTAGCTGCATGTTAATATCTGTATGTATGATGACATCTAATAGTTTAGCTGCATGTTAATAACTGTATGTATGATGACATCTAATAGTTTAGCTGCATGTTAATATCTGTATGTATGATGACATCTAATAGTTTAGCTGCATGTTAATATCTGTATGTATGATGACATCTAATAGTTTAGCTGCATGTTAATATCTGTATGTATGACGACATCTATTAGTTTAGCTGCATGTTAATAACTGTATGTATGACGACATCTAATAGTTTAGCTGCATGTTAATATCTGTATGTATGATGACATCTAATAGTTTAGCTGCATGTTAATAACTGTATGTATGACGACATCTAATAGTTTAGCTGCATGTTAATATCTGTATGTATGATGACATCATCAGCCTCCGAGCTCTGTATGGGACAGACATCTTGAACAATGCAGTGCACGGCAGCTCCACGGTGGAACATGCCAAGGAGGAAATCAAAGCAGTCTTTGGTGACTTGAACTTTAATCCTGATGGCACTCTTAGAGGTGAGTTTTTTGCCATTGGTGTCAGAAGATGGGGTGTTGATGGATGCGGTGACCCATTGCGTCATCCCTACACCTTCCAGGAATTGCCAAGATATATCTAGTTTTGATCAGTTTTTAATTCATATACAAAGAACCCAACACACAACTTGTATCCCAAAACACAACGTGTATCCCAACACACAACTTGTATCCCAACACACAACTAGTATCCCAACACACAACTTGTATCCCAACACACAACTTGTATCCCAAAACACAACTTGTATTGCAACACACAACTTGTATCCCAAATCTGAGGATGTCATTACAGTCTCTACCTTGTGATTTTATAATGATTTTGACAAGCTCAACACGTGTAAAAGATGAATTAAGAGAAGTGTTATAGTGAGCCGTATTTATAGAAGGCTCTTGTTAAGTAGAGATGTATTAGTATACAAATAACACAAACAAACATGTCATGTATAGTAGTCTCACAATTATTTTGTTTATTTTCTTTAGGAGAAGAACCACAATTAGATGAAACAGCTGTTGGTAAGTAAAGATTAATCTTAATGTGTTGAATGTTTACTTCCTTTCATCTTTATGAATCAGAGTTTCGGGAAATGTGTTTTATACGTAAATCAAAATAACATAAGCAAGTAATTGATACATGTGTAAACTGTCCCCATTAGATAAAGCATTTTTTAAACCTTGCGTATTTATTTTAATTATTAATTTATTAATTTATTAATTTAAAAATGCTTTTGTGTAGCTAATGATTTAACTTATTCTAAAGGAAAAAAAAAATATTAAATTTCATACGTGATAATATCATATTCTCTTACACGTTTCTTAAATGAATGTAATTTTTTTTCTTTAAAAATTAGAATTTAAAAATAATTTTTTTAAAGAACATTTGTTTTATGTCTATTGCTATTGGTTAATGTTTTAAGCTTGTATTTTGCTAGTGTTGGGGAGCATTCTGTAAAAGTTTACTTCCAGTTTTTTTCATTAAGTAGATGTAATATTTATGAGCTCTTATCCACCCTGCAAGATACATGAATTTGAACACAACAGTGAAACACACACAAAAGGAATTTTTAAAATTAAAAAACTACAAATTAAAAATAAACCACATTTCTCAGCATATAGAAAAAATGCATTGTAAGAATGACAAATCAAGATTTAAAAATCACATAACTAAATACTAAATTGCATTTTCTGGTACTATGTAGTATTGTAAAAATAAAAATATTAAAAATTAGATAATTCAAGTTTAGTAAATTTTCTATTACAATTCTTCTAAAACTATCAAATTCAGTGATGGGATTAAACACTGATTGCTGTTAAAACAAAACAAAAGATCTATTTAGTTTGAAGTAGCTACACATATAACATTTAAATAATTATATTTTCTTTAGTCCATGAGAAGGAAAGATCTGATGAATCTAAAGCTGATTCTCCTCGCTCAAAGAAGAATGGTCAGCTATTGTATAATGACATATATAAACTTGTACTCAAAGCATTTTTATTTTATATAGAACTCACTAAAATTTAAAGGATGAAATTCAGTCATAGCAAATGAAAATAGAAAAAAAAATTATTTGGTTCTTTTTGTTTAGATTTTATATTTAAATAAATCTTCTCAGCTATCAAAATAATTTAAATTCCACACTTAAAACATTTCTAATACAAGTATCAAAATTAATTTAAATTTTATTTTAAAAAAACTTGCTGTTAATTTGTTACTAAATTTCATCCTTTAAGTATTTTGTAAAGGACATTAACTATTACTACAACAGCTTAGAACTGTTTAACTAGACCAAAACTGCAACATACAAAGTGGTCTGGCTTAGTCTGAGTTGCTTTCTTGCACTTGCTTATCAATTAATGAAAAGATATATTAAAAATGGTTGCTTTTTTTATTTACTTTTGTAGACACATGAAAAATAACAATACACATTAAGCCCTTAAAAAAATTATCTGTACCTTATTTCAGTGAAACTTGCAATTTAAAAAAATGTATATTAAGCAACTATTTGTGATGTTTTAAAAAATCAAGAAAAACATAGGAAAAAACTTGTCCTGCATTTAATTATCTATCATAACAATTGTTGTAGGAATATTGCTTAGCACACATCTACACTTAGATCTATATCATATTTGATAACATCACTGCACTATTTTACATTAAAACGGAATTACTATATAGAGTTGACAGTTGCTTTGCCAAATATTATTAGCTTTTTTTCTTTGGTTGCATATTTTTTAATTAGACTTGTAATATTCAGTCTTATATATGTGTATGTGTATACTTTATATGAATACATATTTTATCAGCTTCCCCCACACACATACCATAATCCTAGCTAATTAGTCCCTATATCATACCCCTTCCCCCAACCTTACCATCCCCACTAGAATTTATATAAAATCTTGATAGAAAATACTAATATACTAAGTACTATTATGTGAACTTCATACTTCATACTGTAGTGACAATTTTACCCAACTGTTAGTTGTCAATGACATGATTATCTCCCTTACAAAATAATCAAGAAATACATGTAGATTTTAATAAAATACATGACATTTTAAAGTAGATTTTTTAAATAGTATTTGTTCACTTAAACTAACTTACTATCAACAGTATCTGCTGTCTATATTTACCAATTTTTTTTACTAAAACCAAATGAATTCTTTTATAGCTTCCTTAATAAACACTAATCTAAAAAATATGTACTTTAATAAGATTTTAAAAATCAAACAGAAATTTAAAAAAAGAAATAATTTTTAAATGTGGAACATTATAGCTTAGTTTGCTATCACATGTTATTTTTCATCATCAATTCATATATAATACTGATTTACACTTATAAACTAGTTAAAATTGTATCTGTTTTTGAAAAAAATTATGATGATACTACATTAGTAAATGATTATGAATGAAAAATAAACTCATAAATTGACACTGGACATTTTATATTCTTTTTTTTAGAAGAATCAGAAGGACAAAGTGGTAAGTAGTTATCAGACGTAGACTATAACACTTCTAAAGGTAACATGCATATTTTGTTAAGTAAGGCCTACTTTTTTAACATAAATGTAGAAACTATAGGCTTCAATAAAATTTGAATACATTAAGTTTCACTGCAGAAACATTCTTTTAAATTGTAATTTTTGTCTGCTATCTTTAGATTGTACTTTTTGTCATTTTTGTGGGAATTTTGTTCTGTGAGATTAATGGCCATGTGTTTATATTCCATTGAAAAAATAATTCTCTATGGTACTTACCTATAAGAGAATGTCCATAAATGATGTCACCTCAAAGAAGGGGGGGTGGAGGATTTAGAATTTTGTGTGACGAGTGGGTGAGGGGTTCAGAATATGTCTTGATACACTTTTAGAGTTTTAATAAAGTAATGTTAGAAAATTAATTTCAGCTGTTATTTAGTGTTTTTAAAAGATTATTTTAAAAAAAGAATTATAATAGAAACTGACATTAAAAAAAAAATCAATGTTTAAAAACAAAAGTATAATTTTGTGTGTGATTGTAGGTTGACATCATTTTAGTGGGTATCTGGGTTTTTGTGATGAGGGGGGTGTGGGGGGGGGGGGTAAAATTGCTGTCCAAAAAAAAGTAATGCCATTTATGGATGACCCTAATGGCAGTTATTTTACTGCAAATAATTGAAAATCGAACCATAATTTCTGCTAGAGATTTTAAGATTAAAATATTTGCACTAAGAACCTCAGTAAAAGGTCTGCTTTATTTTAGTCCATTAAGAAATTTTACATAACACATGAGGTTGCTTGATTTTATATGATCGTACATTTGTATCAAACAAAAGTATTAATGCCATGCTAAAGATTGTCATTTAGGAGTATAAGTTATAAGGTAAAACCTGTTTTGTTTGTTAACTAAATTGGAATCCATTTTCTAAGTTTAATGTTGAAAATCAGTTCAATTTCATGTTTGTGTTCAAATGTTATTTATACAAGTAAAATACACATTTTTTGGGCTAATAATTGCATTAACATTGTCTTCACCTTAAGATATTAGTCTTTGATTTTAGTCAAAGGTTTAAAATTATATGTCACCACTACTAACTGGGAAGTCACCATTTAAATTAATATGTTAAATAATATAATATATTTTAAAATATATTTTATGTAAACCTAAATGATAACTGTAAAAGAGATAGAAATGTTTAAAGTTTCCACACTTCAAATGAAATATTTACTCTTACTATATTTACTCAATATCAATTAGATCTTTATAAGAATAAATTGTTACAAACATGCAATTCATACACATGTTTACTAACTGAATACTTTACAGTCACAGTATTTTCTAATTATGATGCTTACACTTTTTACTTTCTCGTATATACGAAGTATAGAGAAAGTCTTGTAATCGTGCAAAAAAAAAAATCGAGATTTTTGCAAATCTCGACGTTTTGCATCTCACTGATACGGAAAAACATAATTTTGCAATCTTGTCCGTATGTCTGTGTGTCTGTGTGTGTGTGTGTGTGTGTGTGTGTGTGTGTGTCCGTGTGTAAACACGATAACTTGAGTACCGTTACAGCTAGGTTGATGAAATTTCATATATAAGTATTTAATCAAAATCGTAGATCCGTATCAACTTTTGAGCGATTTCCGATAACCGGAAGTGGTACTTTTCCTACTTTGAATTTTTCAAAAGCCTATAACTTGAGTACTATTTCAGATAGATAAATGAAATTTCATACGTAAGTAAAAGATCTAATTCTCTACCTTCTATTAAACTTTGAGTCATTTCCGTTGACTGGAAGTAGTACTTTACGCTACTTCCGATTTCTCAAAAAACTAATGTAAATTTTAAAAGTAATAATAATATTGCGCACTATTATGCGCTTTTTTATTTCGCGTTCACTTGGTGTGCAATTAATTTGTCTACGAGATTTTATTCTATTTTTAAAACTTTAAGTATTTAACATGGATTAAAAATCATGTCTATAGCCCGAGTTCCCATCCCCTGTTATTTTATATAAGAATATTCGAGAAAGTTTAGGGGAGTTCACTCCCGGTTTATTAAACAGAAAAAGAACACAAAGAACATGAGGAAGAGAAAACTGAAGGTACATCTGTTTTTAGAATATTTTATGATTTTATTTCTAGATTATAAATACAAATTCTACATTATAATTTCAAGAGAAATTTTATAATAAAATTTAGTAGTAAATTTATTCTGGATAATGCTTATAGATCTAGCAAGTTTTATTTTAACTTGAAATAGGTCATGAGAAGCATGAAGGGGAACATAAAGGGGAACATGAAGGGGAACACAAAGGAGAGCATAAAGAGGAACACGAAGGGGAACACAAAGGAGAGCATAAAGGGGAACATGAAGGGGAACATAAAGGAGAGCATGAAGGGGAACACAAAGGAGAGCATAAAGAGGAACATGAAGGGGAACACAAAGGAGAGCATAAAGAGGAACATGAAGGGGAACATAAGAAGCATGAAGGGGAACATAAAGAGGAACATGAGGGAGAACATAAGGAGAAACCTAAGGAACATAAGGAAGGGCATGAGGAAGGAGGTAAGCCCATCAAATAGCCAGGCAGTTTAGTCAGCATGTTTGTTCTCTGTATAGTAAATAGCATCCTTTTTCCCAGTCAGGTTTATTCCCTGTATAGAACAAATCATCATTTTCCCAGTCTTGTTTGTTCTCTGTATAGTAAATATCATCCTTTTTCCCAGTCAGGTTTATTCCCTGTATAGAACAAATCATCATTTTCCCAGTCTTGTTTGTTCTTTGTATAGTAAATATCATCCTTTTTCCCAGTCAGGTTTATTCCCTGTATAGAACAAATCATCATTTTCCCAGTCTTGTTTGTTCTCTGTATAGTAAATATCATCCTTTTTCCCAGTCAGGTTTATTCCCTGTATAGAACAAATCATCATTTTCCCAGTCTTGTTTGTTCTCTGTATAGTAAATATCATCCTTTTTCCCAGTCAGGTTTATTCCCTGTATAGAACAAATCATCATTTTCCCAGTCTTGTTTGTTCCCTGTATAGAACAAATCATCATTTTCCCAGTCAGATTTATTCCCTGTATAGAACAAATCATAATTTTCCCAGTCTTGTTTGTTCTCTGTATAGAACAAATCATAATTTTCCCAGTCAGATTTATTCCCTGTATAGAACAAATCATCATTTTCCCAGTCTTGTTTGTTCTCTGTATAGTAAATATCATCCTTTTTCCCAGTCAGGTTTATTCCCTGTATAGAACAAATCATAATTTTCCCAGTCTTGTTTGTTCTTTGTATAGTAAATATCATCCTTTTTCCCAGTCAGGTTTATTCCCTGTATAGAACAAATCATCATTTTCCCAGTCTTGTTTGTTCTCTGTATAGTAAATATCATCCTTTTTCCCAGTCAGGTTTATTCCCTGTATAGAACAAATCATCATTTTCCCAGTCTTGTTTGTTCTTTGTATAGTAAATATCATCCTTTTTCCCAGTCAGGTTTATTCCCTGTATAGAACAAATCATCATTTTCCCAGTCTTGTTTGTTCTCTGTATAGTAAATATCATCCTTTTTCCCAGTCAGGTTTATTCCCTGTATAGAACAAATCATCATTTTCCCAGTCTTGTTTGTTCTCTGTATAGTAAATATCATCCTTTTTCCCAGTCAGGTTTATTCCCTGTATAGAACAAATCATCATTTTCCCAGTCTTGTTTGTTCCCTGTATAGAACAAATCATCATTTTCCCAGTCAGATTTATTCCCTGTATAGAACAAATCATAATTTTCCCAGTCTTGTTTGTTCTCTGTATAGAACAAATCATAATTTTCCCAGTCAGATTTATTCCCTGTATAGAACAAATCATCATTTTCCCAGTCTTGATTGTTCTCTGTATAGAACAAATCATTTTCCCAGTCTTGATTGTTCTCTGTATAGAACAAATCATTTTCCCAGTCTTGTTTGTTCTCTGTATAGAACAAATCATAATTTTCCCAGTCTTGTTTGTTCCCTGTATAGAACCAATCATCATTTTCCCAGTCTTGTTTGTTCTCTGTATAGAACAAATCATCATTATTACCAGTCTTGTTAAAGACAAAATGAGCAGGTGAGTGGCTCAGAATAAAATACCAGAAAGAGCTAGTAAGAGAACAGACAGATCCAGTTCCCTGGGGTAACAATTGTACTGTCCATAGAGCAAATGGGGAGCCGGACATTTTCCCAAAAGACACTTGCCCGAATGCCGTTTGCCCGAAGGTGGCAAGTGGCACTCGGGCATTTGTCGCATTCGGGCAAGTGTCCATTCTGGCATTTGTTGCATTCGGGCAAGTGTCCATTCGGGAAATCGGCCTTTGGGCAAATGGCATTCGGGCAAGTGTCTTTCGGGAATTTGTCGTAGACCCGAGCAAATGAAGTAGAGTTCATCTGTTTCTCTGACTAGCCATAATAAGGGATAGTGTGGTCTTTAAAATGCCAAGCTTCCTTTACCTGTAAGTCAGGTATTTATCAAAGCTAGCTAGGCTTAGGAACCTGTGACTTTTAAGTTACTTTTAAGCTACTCTGTCCCAACCAATTGATCCCAATTTTAATATATTTACTGCTTTGACAGTACACTTGTATGGGTTCCCAAAATTGTACATTTGTTTGACAATTCCCTCCTCAATGTTCAGCGTTATAGATAGTACCATCAGTGTTTCCTCTTTCTCTTCTCAAAATCTTGGAAATATTGCCATGTGTGCAGTATGGTTTATAATTCTGAATGTAAAAATATATAACATTTTGATAGAGGAGATTTCTGGGCAACTTGAATCTCTTGAAAATGAACAGCGTCATTACTTCCCTGAGCTGAAAGAAGTAGAAGCTACATTGACACGTAGTCCATTCTCTGCTTCTCTTAATGTTGACAGAATTCATGACTAATTAGTAGATGATTTCTTTGATTTGCAAAATGATTCCGCTGCATATATGTTGTTTAATGAAAGCCTGCTCATGCAATTTTGATGTGGTAATTATCATTGACTCCAAAAAGGTGACATTGCTTGTGTTTTGAGTTTTAGTTCCCTTTGTGTCCACATATAAAGACGAGAGTGGGCTTTTAACTTCTTCTTCTTTGTTCTTAATTTTTAGCTTTTAACATTTATCCATTAAAAAGATAAATACATTAAATGCTGAGACTGACATGAGTAGGGCATTAACAGAAAGTAACAGCAAATTTTGAGGCTAGCTAGTACCATGCAATCTCACTAATCGCATTTAATCCGTTATCTAACATGATTTAAAACAAAAATTATACTAGAATGTTTTATTTCAGTGTTAATTAATTTCCTTATGAATATTGACTTTTTAGTAAGGTAGGGGTTGCCCGGCCTTTTTTTTTTTTTTTTTTTTTTTTTGCCTGTCACTTGGCTATTAAAAACATGAACTAAAAAAGACAAATGCATATTGTTTAAACTTCAGGATCAATGCTTTACCAATTAAGTATATAATAAGTATAAAGGTTATCAATTTTTTTTTGAGTCAACTGATAATCCTTAAGTCTACAAAAATATGACAAATATACAAACAGTTATTTATTTGCTTTAATATCTTATTTAATAAAACAAGACATAGTGTATATACATTTTTCGTCTAATGTTAACTAACTTCTTTGTATTTTTTACCACTTTCTGGAATTTAGTTATGTGTTGTCTCCCTTGTTTAAAAAAAATGTAGCAGATGCAAATTTGTATTCAGTTAAAAGCAATGTCTGCCATTGTACAATTGTGCTCTAGATGATACAACAGCAGAAGAAAAAAGAGAATCAAAAGTGAACAGTCCAAGCACTGAAGTTGCAGCAGAGCACACAGAAACCAAGTCTAAAGGTCAGCTAGTTTTAAATACATTTTAAGATGGCTAAAAAGGCATTTTCAAAAGTAAAGATAATATTGGGTCTGTAGCAGAAAAAGTGTTGTCAAAATAGTTTTTAAATAGGCTGAGGTAACTAGTCATTCTATTTAAATGAAATTTAATTTTAGATAGATTTTTCTTTCTATTATTCATCACATGTATTTATGTCAAGTAGCTTGATCTATGCTGCAGATACATTAAGATATCTCACCTAAGAAATAAATTTTTTGAAATAGCTTGAGAGTATATTTATCAGCAAAAATTTTGACGAAAGTTTAATCAAGACCTCTACACTTTTTAAGCATTGAAGTTTTAGCTTATTAGTTATTAAAATAATTATACATTTTTACAAAATGAATAAGTAATTTTAATAAAACATAAAACAGCTAAATTAAAAATGGATTAAGGTGAATTCTATAAAACATAAAATTGAAGAAAAGCAGGTAAATTTTATTAAACATAATACACATAAATTAATAAATGAATAATTACTTTTAACAAAACAAAAATAGCTAATTTAAAAAAAGATATAAAGTCAATTTTATAACACATAAAACAGCTCAATTAAAAAAGGCGTAAGGTAAATTTTATAAAACATAAAACAGAAGAAAATAAGGTGGCGGAAGAACAAGCGCCTGACAGTGAACCTCAGAGAGAGGAAGCTGATGATGTTAAGGCAAAAGATGAGGCTGGTGGTGGTGCACCAGCTCAGGAAGACTCTGGGCACGATGGGGCAGCAGCTGAGGCGCCATCAGCAGATGTTGCTCCTACTAAACCTGACACCCCAGCAACAATGGAACCGCCCAAAGATTCTTCTCCAGCTAAACCTGACACCCCAGCAACAATGGAACCGCCCAAAGAATCTTCTCCAGCTAAACCTGACACCCCAGCAACAATGGAACCTCCCAAAGAATCTTCTCCAGAACCACAAGAACCTAATGGTACCAGTGTGCCCTGAACATGTATTCATGTATTGGCCACCAGTGTCACTTGTTAAATTTTGATGATTATATCAGCTGTGTTTTCACTACCGGCCTCTCACTTGAAAGTAAAAAATATTTATTTATCTACAGATTCGCCAAAATATTTAACCATTCCAAAAAAGGATCATATTTGAGATTGCTTTGATAATTTTTTTTTATATTTAAAAAAATGTCTTTTATAATTCCTTTTAATATTTTCAAAATATCTTTTATAATATTTTAAATATATTTAAGATTTTTATAGTTGGTAATAAAATACCAATTTTAAATACACCAATGAAAAGAATTTTTAAAAGTTTTATTAGTTTAGCAATTAAATTAAACATTTCTTTTTTAATTTTGTAAAACCAATATAATGTTTCTTTACAAAATTTAATCAAGCATTTTTACTTTCAAAGTGAGAGAACCAATATACCCTATACAATATACATTGACCCTGTGAAAATATACATATGATATGCATGGCTTTGTAATCATCTACACATATTCATTCTACGTGTGGGGAACCTTTGGCGAATACTTATATAATGATGATATTGTAATACAGATGTATTTTACAGTCTTTCTAATTTTATTGTTAAACAGCGCTTTGATTTGTTTTTGCTTTTAAGGCTAACAGAAGTCGGCTACATAACATGTTTATAATGGTGTTACACTGATACTTAAACTATGACAAAAACAATCATTACAGTGTGCTTGACTTCAGCAACATTATAACATCACTTCTTTGGTTTCAGATTTATTTCAGCACAGCATTTTGTTTATATCACATGATGTAGTGTTAACCCTTAAAGCGCGCCACGTGGCCTTACGCGTTTTAAGTTATGTAACAGCAAAGCCACAATCATGGCTTGGCATGCTTTATGAGTTAACCAAAGCAAAGTATTTTATTTTTAAATTTCTGCACAGATTTTAGTGTTGCTGTTTCTGTTATGTTTTTTTGTTAAAAAAAGCTATGTTTCAATATTGGATCTTGTATAGATAAGCTCTGCTACTAATGCAAAAAGTACACAGGTGAAAAGTTAAGTGCCACCATTTTTTGCCAGTTCCAATTTAAAATGCAAGCAAGCAACCTTGACCTATTTCTGATTTGAATATCTAAACACATTTCATAAAAACAACTGCTTATCAGCCTCTAGGGTAAGGGCTAGGGCTTGGGCTAGGGTTATGGTTAAGGTTTGGTGTTAGGGTTGGGGTTGGTCATGGTCATGGTCATGGTCATGGTTTAGGTTAGTGTTAAAAAATAAAAGTACAAGTTTATATCCTCTTGTTAAAATCTTTTCTGAGTGGTGGGTGTTAAGTTGTTGGTGGGGTGGGGCTTATCTGGACAAGATCCTTGATAGTTTCTAACAAATAAAACTTTATTATTGCACTTTGATATTTTGATGCAGTTTGAAATCAATACTAAAACTTGCTAGGAACATGCAGTTAACTAAATTATTTATAATACTATTTTGCATAATAATCCTTTACATGTTTTACAACTATGAATTTAAAAAATAAAATAAATTAATAAAATAATACTATTTTCAATGTAAATATTAAATTTTTAAATATAAAACAATAATACTAATTTCAATATGAATATTACTTTATTTTTTAGATTTTAAAGTAAAATTATTTGCTCCAAGCAATACTTTTTACTTCTTATTTAGAAATGTAAAATTTCACACCTTTTACCCCTTTATACCTACCTGTAGTGCTATGCTTAGTTCTTTGTGAACATTTTTACGAACAGAAGAGCCTAACCCATCTGTAGAAACTAGTTCTAAACCAGATGACACAGAACAGCAGACAGAACCCAAATCTGAGGCAACTCTGGAAGATAATCAAAGGGAAGTAATTCAGGAAGGGGAAAGTGGGGAGAATAAAGGTTGGTTTGGTTTGTTATCACATAAAAGAGTTTTGGTTTGGGATTGCCAATGAAAAATATTTAATATGTGCTTGAAATATCAAACACTGTTACAAATAATGTTTGTGAAAATTGAATGGATTTGGCATTAAAGAGAAAATGCTGTTAAAATATTAGAGTTTCTTTTCTTAAGTTTTGATCTGCTCATTCTTCTATTTCTTTTGAATATCACTTCTTTTTTAACTTAATACCATGCAGGCTTTTTTTTCATTATCAGGAGGAATTCAATGTAGGCCTACGCCGGCTTTTAGCTTTTAATTTTATTTCTATCATCTTGTGTAATTGACGAAATTTCCACCTTTTAATAAATTTTTTTACTTAGTCTATAATTATATTCAACTGGCTTTTACTTTATTTTAATTTTTTTAACTATTTATAATCACTGTGTATAACATTTTTAGTTTCTTCTCCAGTTTTTTTTTAATTTGAAATAATTTTCTTAAATATTTTTAAACATTCCTCACAATCTAGTGCATTTTTAATTTTTTTTTAAATTCTGTAGACTTAGAATTTTATTTTTAGACTTATTTTGCTTATTTGAAATTCCTTTCACAGATATTTGTTTGGTCTATGAAAACAAAAAAACCTGGACAACAAAGATAAAAATTTTATTTGTTCTTGAACAATTTTGTCTTTACAATTTTATGTTTGATTTGCTTCTGGTTTATGTTTCATAAACTTGTTTTACTTTTCAAAATGGATTCCAAGAGCAAAATGAATAAATCATTGATTAATGTAACCGTTTGTATTTAAAGTAAAAATGTTTTTAATTAAATTAAAATGTATGTTTACAGCCATAAAAATGACAGTAGATGTTGACGTTTATTTTTATCTTCTTTTTGCAGGAAAACTTTTTGTTACCAAATTCATTACATTTTTGTCTTAATTTTAATTATGTATCCCATTTTCAGCTCAAAGAAAATAGTGTAACACTGAAAAAAATTACCATACCCCAAATATTATTGTAGTGCATTGTATAACAACATTATGTTGTCTCTTGTCTTGCAGTAGTTGAAGAACCAACAGAAGAGGGTGCAGAGGCGCCCACAGAGGAGAGTTGAGTGAGTTCCAGCTTTTAACAGGTATCACGTCGCTTCCTTTTATCTTAGTACCTTGCTATAATGTAAAATGACTTTAAGGTATAACGTCACTTCTTTTATGTTAGCCCCTCCCTATAACGTAAATAGACTTAAAGGTATAATGCCGCTTCCTTCTATCTTAGTACCTTGCTATAATGTAAAATGACTTTAAGGTATAATGTCACTACTTTTATGTTAGCCCCTCCCTATAACGTAAATAGACTTAAAGGTATAACATCGCTTCCTTTTATCTTAGTACCTCGATATAATGTAAATAGACTAAAATGTATAATGCTACATGAATAATAAATTTTTACATAATGTTTCTTCCTTTAATATTAAGAAACTTAAAGAGCTTATGCCTAAAAGCATAGAAAATTGTAATGCCAAAAATATAACAATATATACAATGAGATATTCTAATTTAAATTACCAAGTGTTACGTAATATTATCTACGTGCTACTAAAGAAACCATTCCCTTCACATTCCCTCCACAGATTTACCTACCCACCTCAAATATTTTGACCATTAAACTAGGGGACAACAGACAGAAAATTTCTATAAAAACATCCCTGTGGAATAAACAACAAAAAATATTTGTAGATTCCGAAGCAGAAGATGGGAACTATTGTTTACCAAGAAATTTTGTACATAGAGATGTTTTCAATTTCGTAAATGTTATGCATAGAAGTGTGCAAATGAAATGCTAAATGGAATTTTTATTATGCCATAAATAACAAAATAACGGTGTGTTAAATTTTGAATGAAGGTTAAATATCCATATTGAGCATACGATTAAAAATGTGAACTTATTTATTATTATTTATAATTGACTATTATAAAGTTATTGCCAGATATAATAAAATCAGCAGATACAATGTTGAATCAACAAAATTTGTTTTTAAAGAAAAAATTCCTGTTTATAGCAAATTAAATTATGATTTTTTATTTTTAGTATCCAAATATTTTTAAAATTAATACAATTTGGTGGGAAATCAAATTAGTTAGTCTAAGTGTTAGCAGATTGCAGCCAAAATGCTTTATATTAGAGATATTATTTTTTAAATTCTTTTCAAACAATATGTGATATTATTGCTGTGATATACTAAATGACCTGAGGTTTTTAATTACAATAAATTTTTTATTAAAAAACTATTCCACTTGGAAAACACTTCTATTCTGTGATAATGGCATACAAATACATGTCTTATTGTATTATGTTTTTACAACTAATTTTGACTGAATAATATTATTAAAGCATTAAAATAGTTTGACGATTTTTGCTTTTGTTCTTGTTTAAAATTTCACTCATAGAAATAGCTGTTTATTTTTTGTTTCACAGATTACACTTTAAAAATCTTTTCTCAGACAAATTTCATCAAATCAATGCTGATATTTAGTTAATATTCTTTTACTGCTTTACTGTCTGGGTAACTGTTGCTCTTTTAACTGTGTACTTTTATAGATACAAACCTTATCTAAACCACAATAAAGATGACACAAAGATTCCATCAAGGGGAGATTACTACTATTTTGGTACCTTAAAATTTGCGATGAAATTGAATTAAGGGAAGTAACTTTTTATTATAATCATATACATTTTATGTGTTATATACCTTACATCTTTTAAGTTAGACAAAACGTCTGATATAAATGAGAAAAAGTTGAACAAGTTTACAAACTAGCGTCTGTGTTTTTCTCATTTGATTTACGCCTGTTTGAACATTGGCTCCCTCACTGATATCGTACCTAGCGTGAACTCGTTTGCTGAGGTTTCGGTTAGTACTAGCTTCCTGCTAGGGGGGGGGGGGGTTAATGAGGGAGTAGTAGGAATGAAGGAAGACGGCTTAATTTGGGGAGGGGCATACTTAGGGGTAAGAAGGAAGTCACTGATAGAGTGGAAGCCGTACAGTTTGAGGGGCGGAGGGGGGGGGGGAAAGCGGATTGCTATCATTTCCTTAAAGAAACCATTCTAAGGCGATATTTCTTATCTGATTGATTACTCTCACTGCCCGGATCCAATATTGATGACTGGGAATCCCGGCTGAGACGCTTTTAATGTTCTACTAGACTACCCGTTATCTAGTTAGATAACTGTGGGTTTCGGGGGGTCATCCATAAATGACATCACGTCTGCCAGCACTTATCATCCCAAAATAACCAGACCCCACATTCAAAAAGACGTTTTTTATATTTTAAAACTCTACTAAACTCTACTTCACCTGTCCAGTGCCCCGCCAAGTCTCAGACATGTTGGTATTTTTAAAAAAAAACGATTCCGACCGAGCATGGCTCTGACCACACTATCCCTTCATATGCTGAGAACATAGGAACAGGTGAACTCTACTTCACCTGCCCTCTGCCTCGCGAGGTCCTGATAGTCAAACTTATCATTCACATACAGGCGGCCTAAAGAAAAAATAATTGAACACGAGCCGACCCGCGGCGTATCATACGCCGCTATTTAGTTGATTTATTTTCTACTTTTCAGTAAATCATAATTTGTGAATTCGACAGTACCAATGCTGCCACTGAAAATATTTGCTTTAAAACACTAACCCCCCTCCTTTCCCCTAACCCCGACCCTACCCCCCCCCCCCCCCCCCCCCGTGAAAGCAGCCTCCTCTTAGTTACCTCCTCTAAGTTTAAAATCGTTTCAAACTAAATTATCTGCCCCTAATAGCCGTCACCAAACCCGTCTCTGTGATTGTAAAATGTAAACAGAGTGAACACCTCTCACCAGATCATGTGGGGGTGGGGTGGGGGTGGTAGTGATAGAGAGGAAGAGAGGGGACTGGAAAGGCGCGCTTGCAGCTTGTTTTCTAACTGATCCCAGAAGAGAATTATATATATAGATTGTTGTAAAATAAATCTTTTAACTATTGCCATAGTCAATGTTCTAAACTTTTATAATAATAAATGTGGTTATAATAATAATAATGTGGTTAATCTACTTATGAATATATCAATAAATTAATTAACGGCTTTAAATTAGTTAAAAATTAACAGTGTGTTCAAGAAAGAACAATATTTACCACCCAAAATCCTATTTTACAGCTCTACATATAACGCAGATTCTCCCCAATAACAATTCAAAAAACAAACAAACAAAAAAAATGAGTTATTAAACGTCACTATTCAGTCAAAATTAGGCCATTGTTCTAAAACTTTAAAAAAATAGTGGTTAATCTACCTATGAATAAATCAATAAATTAATTAACGTCTTTAAATAAATGTGTGATTAACAGTCAGTCTGCAATAAAAAATTGTTCTCTACCTACATACAATTTTAAGCCCCCCATATCGAATAGTTTCCTTACAGTAAGAAATCAGACAAACAAATAAATATTCAAACATGTAAACAAAGTTGAGTTTTAGTAGTATTAGATTAGTTGTGCCAGTTCTTCGGTTGGAGAACAATATTGAACAATAAACAAGGGTGTCTTTGAGATGGATTCTAAGCAGAAATACAGCCACAAAATTTAACAGATATAATAAAAGGGGATTTCTAACTCCCTAATGCTAATTACAGATTAGTACACTGTCCATTTCTATATGATTATTGACAACAGATTAGTATATATATATATATATATATATATATATATATATATATATATATATATATATATATATATATATATATATATATATATATATATATATATATATATATCTTATGCCTTATTTAAAAGTCATGCAGCGCTAAAATTTATTTTTTCATTTTTTTCTTTTACTTTTTTTTAAATTTTTAAATTTATTTGGATCTATCTATATATATAATTCTCTTCTTCGAGCCGTTAGAAAACAAGCTGCAAACACTCTCCCTACCTCCCCGCCCCTACATGGTTTTAGTGAGCTGTGTTCACTCTAAATGTTTACAAGCAGAGCCAACGATTTTAAGTAGGGGGGTGGGGGGAGGAGGGGGGGGAGGGAAGGAAGGGGGGGGGGGGTTATGGTCCTTAACGAGCTACTTATGGTGTTTTAAAGAAATATTTTCAGTGTCAGCGTTGGCACTGTCGAATTCACAAATTATGAATTATTGAAAATTAGAAACAACTAAATAGCGGCGTATGTTATGCCGCGGGCCGGCTCGTTTATTATATTTTTTTCCTTTTTTTTTTATTTTTTAAAAGAGTGTTGAAAGTATTAAACAAGTTAATAAAAAGTCTAGTGACAATTTAAGCGTAATTTCCTTAATTAATTTTTTGTGACCGAACGAAAGGATATTTTTGAAAACTTTCTTCGGCAATATTGGTCTAAATTATGGCAGGAATCGATTGGTAAAAGTTTCAAGTCGCTAAATGGTCTGGTTTCCGAGATATGGGCCAAAAACTGCATTTTTTAGAGTTTTTATGGCTTTTCCGGGAAATCCAGGAAGGAATTCCGGGAATTTTTTTGGCCCACAATCATCCTCGGAACTTGCTTAACATATTCGCTTTTGGAACTAGTCTTCGATATTGCTTCGTTGAGGATGAGATACGACTTAAAGCTGCGGACACACATCGGACACACATCGGAAACACATCCATCCAGAACGAATTAATAATCGCATTTGTCAGTATGGAAATTGCGCTAAAAAAAGCCAACGACAACCAATTAAAGCATATCAAAAATTTCAAAATTATAATATAGCATATTTCTTAGATATTTCTAGTGTTTAAGTTTCAAGTTTCGTACGTATTATAAATTGTTTTTAAAAAGAAAATATACGTTTTATTTTTTGTCAATATTTTTAATATAAAAATTAATTTTTCTAAATTAAGAGTTTGAACTTATGAACAGGTTCCTACGAACATTTTGAGCTATTTCAAAGCGTGAATTTAGTTTGTAGTTGTTTCCCTTAATAACTTACTTAATTTTACATGGGAGGCTATTACTTCAATTGCCTCTCAAATCACTATTATCAAACCTTTAACGTGTCATAACTATATTCCCCAAAATTCTGTTTACCAGTTTCTTTCTTTGATCTTTCTGTAGATAATATATTCTTTACTTAGGTTCCGCCCCCCCCCCCCCTGCGTTTGTCATTAACATCAAATTAACCATTTCAACCCCGTGTTTACAATAGGTAATTTTGTGATTGGTCTGATCGCCCTTTCTCAACTGTTTGTGTACAACTAACAGAGTTTCTTCCAGGCATCTCTTCGCCCCCCCCCCCGAAGAAAGTCTTCCGCCCCCACGAACGAGATGGATTTTAAATGGTAAACATACACTTTTACTAGTGTGCGCCCCCCCCTCCCCGAAAAATGTTGACCCCCCCACCCCCCCCCCCCCCCCCCGGAAATATCAAGTGCCCCCCGGAAAAAAAAGTCTGGAATAAACACTGACAACTAAGCATCAGTGATTTCATGGTTGGTAAGATATCTTATTTAAAAAAAAGTAAGATATCTAAGATAGCCAACAGACAGTTAAATATGATCTCCTTACTAGATTAGTATACTAATAGTATGTTACCGGAGGCGTACCAGAGGCGTAGCGAGGGGGGGGGGGCGGGGGACATATGTCCTTGGGCGCCGACCTTAGGGGGGCGCCAAAATGGGTTGAAAAATAAATTCAAAGCTTGAGGGGGGTGCAAATCGAAATCTTGAAGGGGGGGGGGGGGGTGCAAATAGAAAGTTTGTCCCCGGGCGCCGGGAAGGGTCGCTACGCCTCTGCGGCGTACCGAGAGTAAGCGCCGCCACGGGCGGTGATCCGAATTGCAACCATTATAACTAAAAATAATTTTTGTATTTTTTAAGATTTTCTGTCCAAGAGCTTACTAATTTAACAACTAATTACTGTCGTTAATGTGGATTGCTATACAGTTATTTTCTGCTGAGATAAATACATATGTGTGAGTAGGCCTATGTATAAAGATTCGCTGTAATTTAAAATCAGAAGTTCACCGACTTTATTTTTGTTAAAGTATAAGTAAAAATAAATTTAAAAAAAAAAACAACAACTAAATTCGTTCATATTATATAATAGTGCATATATTTAGTTGCACCCTCATTATAATTTAACAAGACAAAAGTCAACAGGAACAGAGGAAACATTGACGTCACGAACGAGAAAAATGTCGGCCCAGTCAAGGGAGACAAGCTTTTGATGACATGCTCAGAAAATGTATCCTATTTATTCTATGAACCGGCTAAAAAAAAAAAAAAAACCCCGTTGTTTTTCGTGAACTCAAACGGGATGTATTGCGGCCATTGGCTCCTATTTTTTATCGTCTGCTCCTTGACAGGTAGAAAACAAAACTTACGCCG